TTTGGTGTCCTGATTATTTTTAACAATTGACAGGTATATAATAATTTGCTCTTCATTTTTCTTATGTTAATCTTTAAAACCAAAGTCTCTGTGAATATTGTGTTTAGATAGGTTACCCCGTTTCTTTATGGAACAACATGTTGTTGTGTAAACCCTTAGTTTCTACACTCTCTTCATTGCAGCTCACAGTAACATTTCTATGAGTTGGTGGGCTTCTGTGAAGCAAAGTTATCATCTGGTTCACCAATACAGATAATAGTTTCAAGCAAAGTAGCTAAAAAGTTAGTGCCACCCACTATATTTTAAGGCTCTCTATGTCCCTGAAAGCCAAGCTTTTCTGAATAGCACAAAAAATGTTTTTGTGGATTGTTGTTCGTTGCACTTTAATCTTTTTAACTAAGTTACGAGGCTTAAGTTTTTCTTTTAAAAGGTGTGTAATTTGGGGAAACGGATATCAACATCTTATTATGAAAATGAAAAGACTAGTAGGTATGGGATTTTTCAGAACCCTTGATGTGTTCAGCGTAGCATTACTAAATTACTGAAATCTAAATAACATTTGGCATTATAATGGAAGGAAATAAGTGACTAAGCTCTCCTAAGAAGCAGTGATACTGCACCATAATAAGAAGTGTGTTCCTTCAAGCAGACAGTTCTCTGATTGTCTTGTTTTAAATCATCTGGGAGACAATGAAGAGGCTTAAAAAAACTAAGAAGAAGAAGAAGGAAAAGTGTGTTGGACACCGAATGAAAAGACCATGTCAAGGTTTGGTTTCAATTTGCCAAAAGCTGATTTATGTAAATAGCTTTACTTACATAAAGTATTACAGGGTTCAGTCTTATAATTGTAAGTGTATTTGAAACGTCACCCTCCATAACTTCAGGTAATTTTTGTATGGAATAAAAGTTTTTTAAAAAATTAAAAACAGAATAAAAGGAAAGATTGCCCATTTAGTGGCTGATTTAAACATTCCGATGTAGAACCTATCTGGCAGGTTCCCAGGACAATTTGAGCTTGGAACCTCTGGACCATACTGACTGAATGGATAATTTACTTTCCACATACCTACTTGTGTCTTTTCATTACTTTTAATGGTTTCGCAGGCTTGGGATTATGATTGCTCGACTCTCCTTGTAATAAATTCAGCGTAGCTGCTTTTAAGTGCTTAGTAAATGAAAAACCAGCCATTTTCACAGACACTGTAGGAAAAAACAGCAAGAAATATTTACGTCTTATTTCATAGGAATTGCAATGGCTTTTGTTTACTTTTTAAAAAGCAGTTCTAATTGCACAATGCTACTAAACTTTTATAACTATCAGTTCCTAACTGTGGAATTGTTATCAGGAATAACGTATCTCAGCTGTGTCTTGGCACGAACTGAGCCAGGACAAGGGGTCCTTGGAGCTTAGTGGATGGGTGAGAGCTCTTAAAGCTAGAAATCAATACTACAGCAGGATTTAGACAATTTAGCAAAATATATCAGACAGTACTTTGGGTGAAGAATAACTATAGCATCAAGTTAACCCCATGGAGTTTCTGAATCACAGTCTATAGTGCTTTTCGCAAGCTTCCGTTGGAAGATAAGAGACTTTTATATGGCAGGTTTGGAACAAATACATGCAAAAACAGAATGATTTTTTTTAATCCTTTGGTGAAAACTGGCTATGGTGGATCTCTGTCCAATTCTTTCCCACCTGCCTGTCAAGGAATGAACTGGCAGTAACCAACCAGGAAAAAGATCTTGGCTGTGGAAGTAAATTTGATGAAAATGTCAAATCCACGTGCAGCATTGGTACAAAAGGTAAATTCTATGCTGAAGATATTAGGAAAAGGATTGAAAATAAAATGCCCTTGTACAAATGTATTGAGCTGATGCATTTGGGCATAGTAGAGTTTAGGATTTCTGGGAGATTTTGTAGATCTGGAAAATGTGTAAAAAAAGGGGAAGCAAAATGCTCTAAGGATTGGAGTATCTTTGTTACAAAGAAAGGGTAAAGCATTTGGAAAATTTTCAGATTAGAAAAAGAGTACTGACTGGGGAAACATGATAGTTATACAATTATGCAGGGCTTTTTTGTAGAAAAAGCCCAGCATGAACTCATCAGCATAATAGGCCACACCCAACAGCATAAATTTATTAGCATATTAGGCCACATCCCTGAAAGTGCAGCTCATTAGCATATTAGGCCACACCCCATGCCTTTCCTTGGCTTGCCTGGGCGCCCCGTGGCTGTGGGGAGCCTGGGCAAGCCCCCCCCTTGAAGGGAAGGAAGGCAGTTTAAACTGCCTTCCCTTGGCTTGCCCAGGTGCCCCGCGGCTGTGGGGAGCCCGGGCAAGCCAGCCCTTAGACAGGTTGGGAAAGGCACGGGGTTAGAGAATTGTTAGGTATTAATGAACAACTGGAGAGATTCCAAGCATTTTTCACCCCTGTGGTCTAAAACTTCAATTTGAATGTTTATGTTGCTGAATGTTTGCTATTTTCTGGGAAAACATGTTCTTTGAGTGTGTTGTAGAGTAATTTGGTAATTCTCCAGTTCAGATATCTTTTGAACTTTTCTTCCATTGCTGTTTTTTGCCTGTACAAGTGTACACTGGCATTGCATGACTCTTTAAATGCCATAATAGCGGCTAAAGGTAGACATATACTCTTATGCAGGGGTCGTTTCATAGAAA